TGTTCTGGAAAATGGATAGTGAGAATCAGCCCTATTGAAAGACTGAGCTTAAATTTATGTTCATAAGGCACTTTAAATATCTCCAACTAAAAAAGGATAACTATTACTACTGTCTATTTAACACCAAAGTTATACATGTGTGTTGTATAGGCACATAGCTAGTTGTATAGCACAGAGGTGCCTTGAGTGGTGGAAGGGCCAGCAGTGCGATGCTTTTATTTTCCTGGCACTCTTTAGGAAGACAGACGCCCTTCCCTGATGCATACCAGTAGGATTAGGTCCAAACCTGGGCAGCCAAGCTCAGTGATCCCATCAGCAAACCCCCAGCAGCTGCTGCCTCAGCCTGGAATTACCAGGATTCCCAGGAGCTCTTATAAATTTGTATGAAAGATTCGTAAGTGCAGCTACAGCTCAGCTCCTGTAGCATGCCTCAAACTGCCTCTGCCTTGACACAACTAAATAGCCAAAGCCAACCTGGATTTTCAAGCCAAGCATTTTCCTGCATTCTCCCTCCCAAGGAGTCTCATCTGCTGTTGTATCGACAATAAACATCATGCATTACAAACTTGCTCAGTGGTTAGGGCCCTATGTTGGTGATAAACAAATGGCTCCCCTTTTCTCCTTGTCTGAGGCTACCTGTAGGGAAGGACAGGCAGCTCTCCTCCTGCCAGAGGTGGAGTCAGTTCAAGACAGAACAAGAGCGAGGGAAGACTTTGAGGGCTCAGAGTGCTGGCTGGGTTTGTCAAGCCTTGACTGCAATTTCTGCAGCTGTTGAGTAAATTATGGAAATAGTCCTTGAAGCAGGAACTAGAATCCAGACCTGCCCTCAGCCTCCAGACATATCTTTCTCTGCTGAGCTCGCTGAACCTGGAAGTCTTTCTGCACATTCGAAGTACTTGGGGTAAGTAATGGCACCGTTTGAGGACAGTACCTTAACTGTTCACTGAGGTGCAAAGGAAATACAAGTGTTTAAATACATCCTTCTGCTGTATTTTTTAAGAAGTAATTTGTTATAAAAAGTCTTCTACCTGAAGTACAATGGTCTTTCTGTATTAGAGCCTGGCAATAATACAACCATATGCCTTTGAAATAAATGCCTTATAGCATGGGGGCTGTTTTTCTTCACAGCACCCACACGAAAATCGGTTTCAGCTTGTCATAAAGAAATTTCTTAGCTATTTTTTAGGTTTCATTAAAAGATGTACTAGTCACCAATTTTCAGTTTACATTAATCATTTGACAAATTGGGCATTATGAAAGTACTTTTATAGAAGTCACAGACAACAATCATTGCTCTCAAAGAGAGTGCTATTGAAAAAAATTAGCAAAAAGAGGGAAATTTTGAAAACATTTCTCTGACTTGTTTGTTTGTTTTCTGCTGGAGTTAGTATACTTGCATAGGAGTTCTCCTGCCTCCCTCTTGTGGCTACGTTTTTATTCTCAACCTGGAAAAGGAACAATTGCAGTGCAGCCACAGAGTTCATGATAGTTACCCTTCTGATACAAGCCTACCGCTTAATTTTGCTAGAAAAGCCCCACTCTGTTGGGAATATCCCAAATAAAATTTTTCTGCCTAAGGGAGAGATTCTTTTTCACTTTCATGTGGAAACAACTGAACACGTTTGATAAAATCAGTGGTAATTCATGCTGGTTGCATTTTGTAATTGATTCTGGATGTTCAGATTCAAGTTAGCCAAATGTACGAGCTCCACCTAGGAGCTAAGATGGTATATTTGAGATGATGTAATGTTTTCAGACTGTGCTGGAAAGTCTAGACAATAACTTTGGAGTCAACTGCTTTGATGCAATGAACCTGCAAAAACACATGGCCTATACGTTTTAGGATATCGCTTTGTCCTTCCCAATCACCTTCCATTTAAGAATTGCATAGCCCTTTCCAAACATTAAGAAATTAAGCCCACAAGAACTAACTGAAATAAAAGACTGTACCTCTCAGATGATAAGAAAGCTATGATAGCATTAAATAGCTACCTTGGAATGAGAGGGCCCCAACTGAACACAAATCTAATGCCCTTCCATTGTTTCCTTAATCCACAAGAACATCTTCTCCCTTCAAGGTCCTTAGCAGACTTACACCACATGTGGTGTTATTTACCTTGAATGTCTCTGCTCTGTGCCCTAGTGTTCTTCATTCCTTAGCAATTTGCACTGATACCAATACAGCACATTGCCTACTGAAACACTCATGAGGTTTGTTTCTTGAAAGCCATAGATGGAAACTGGGCAAGAGGGACCTGGATACTTGTAGAGAATAGAAACAGAATGAGCTGCACAGTTTAAAGCCCACTGCTGTGTTTCTTGCTTTGTAAGGCCTAAAAGAAAGTGAGCCTGCAGTTCTGCACCAACATTACTTGGTCACATCCTCCAGCTTCATCTCCAGTTTCATCAGTGAAAGGGACTCGCTTTGACCACTCACATGTTTATGTAGCTACCCGGGTGATATGGATAGAGATATTAATTATCATGTTGGCTTTGAATGTACTCATCTGCTTCACGTTAAATGATACCCATCAGCACCTCCTTGGCTGCCAGCCAGTAAAAACATTCATGGGAGCTGAGCCCAGGCCCATGCAGGCTGCCAGGGGCTGCCTGCAGCAACAGCTACAACTTCTTGGGAAAAATCATTCCTGGTGCCTACAGACCAGGAATCTCATACAGCTGCTGTTGGCCCTTTGCTCTGTAACCATTAATACTGCATCTGGACAGTTTGCTTGGAAGAACAAATTCAGTCAGACTCAGGCACAATCGCGTCTCTGTTGGATCAGCGGGAGCACACCACACCGTGTGTGGGATGGCAAGCACCATGTCATCTGGCTCCCCAGGCTGCAGTGTGTCCGGGTGTTCACTCACCTGCCTGGCAAGAAGATGGGTGTGTTGTGTCAGGGGGGCATTCTGGGGGGCTAGCCTCATGGTGTTGACATGAGCCAGCCCCGCAGAAACCCCAGGCAAAGCTCGAAGCAGTTGCGAGACCCCTACTGCATCCTTCCCACGTGTCTACAAGGTGTTATTTCCCAGATACTACATTATTTCCCAAATATCACACCATCTGTGCCTCAAACCTTCTGGAATATCTTTAGTGAGCCATACTGAGTTGCAGCATGGATCAGAGCATGGTTTCAATCCTTCCAGCATAAATACAGCTGCCTGAAAACTCTACACTGGAAGCATTGTTTTCTGCTCATTGTGTGCTCTGCCCATAAAACAGCAAGCAAAATTGCAGGTATTGTGGCTGTGATGGAATGCCTCACTGCAAATGTTAGAGAAATGTTAGAAAATAGAGACGTAGACATGCTGGCTGCTAATTTGCCTACAGTCTGTCTCTGGGAAAAATGAGATGGCTGATGACAGTAGGTCATATTGTGAATATAGGAAGATTTGTAGTGGAGGATGATGCTTAAGATGGAAAAACAATCTTTCATCTAAAGCAGCAAGGCACGGAGTAGGAACAAGCAGCTAAGGGAAAATATGAGCTCAGATTTCTAAGGGAAGCTTCATATTTTTTTACATGTTTGCAGCTGTCAAAATCTTCATATGCCCAAGACTTACAGGTTACAGCACCATTTACCACGAAGACTCAAGCGGAAAGGAACTCTGGAAATGGGTCACAGGTTGGAAGTGGCAATAAATAGGCCTAGGGCCCTCTAGCTCCATTACAAGATGAGTTGGGCTGGCTCCTTCCTGCTGTTTTCCTTTCTCTCAAAGGCAGGGTCCCTGACTGCCCATCAGTCCTCACACTAGTACAGCTTTGCCATTTGGATAATTAGCCCCAGCATGGGAACTGCACATTAATTGCTTGTAAGCCACAGGATGGCCACAACTGAGTTCATGCTCACTGTTCCTCACTAGGAAGCCTGGACACAGCCAAAATCGAGCTGAACTTGTTTCCTACAAATTTCCATCTTGTCCTGTGGAAAAACAAAAACAAAACAAAACAAAACAAAACAAAAAAAAAAACACAACTCATCTAGGAAAAAAATAAAATAAAAATAAAAATGTGTCTTGCCTGCCTGATGCCCTTGGGGCTGGGTCCTGGAGGGGATGTAGATCACCTCTGAATGGGCTGTAAAGTGTAGGGCACACCCATGTTTGTCCATGAAAGCTGTAGCCTGCTTGCCCTTAAAGCAGCTCTGAGTGATCCTCAGCAAGCCAGAGGCTTGCGTGATTTGCAAGGCCACTCACCTGGTTGCAGAGGAACAGATATATTACCTGGGAGGCAGTGAGCATCCAAGGGAGAGCAAACCTGCCCTGCACAAATACATTTTCAGTTTATGGCCACATGAACATGGGACGAACTAGTGGGTAGAAGACACCAGAGCACATCACCACGTAGCAGTGGCTGCCCATGTGCAGCCTCTCACCTGCAGCAGTGTGACAAGCCCAGGCTGCACACACATGCGCCCAAACAAAACACGGGGCTAGCACCTACACAGAGCAGCGCCCTGCCGTAGTTACACGCTGCTTGTTTGTATTCTGGCATACTCTGCGGTGATTACTTTGTCATAAGTCACCACACGGAGTCCGAGGTATGTAAGGCTCGCGAAATGACTCTATAGATCACTCAGTGCAAATTTTTCACTATGAATCTTTTGCTCTCCAGCGCCTGCATAAATCAGGAAGAACTTCGCTGAAGTGAATTCAATTTTGCTGTGGACCTTTGCACACAAGAGCTGGAATATACGGCAGTAATCAGTGAAAACATTTATCAGCATGCTGGGTAACGCTTTGCTTTAGAGTCAGTAATGTAGGATGCTGTGTGCAGGGAGAATCCAATCGCTGTTTGAAGTGCAGGGTTTTTGTTACCTGAGTTCTTTGTTTCTGGGCTTCGTGGCTCAGAGCCAGCAAAATTTTGGCTGTTGTCAGAACCTCATCATAGCTGAGTAGCTGTGATTCACAACAGTTGCAGTCTGAGTGATTAATTTTACTGCTTAAAAAGCACTTAAGCAAGGTAGTACTGACAGAATGTGTAACTTGAAGGCACTCCTTTAGCTTGTGCCTCTGCAGAGATGCTGTAACCTTCAGAATTTTAGGGGCTTTTTTAGCTGTATAAGAGTCAGTGCTCAGCATTCAAATTATGATTCATTTATTCTGTAGAAACCTAAGCAGTAGGCGAACATATACACACATGCAAAAACAAAGGTGGTCTCTGCCCTAGGACCAGCAATCTTCCTATTACAAACATTACAACTTGCCTACAGCAAGTGGGGTGGGCATTTCAGCACAGGACAATTCTTCTTCAATGAAAGGAGTCCTGAAGGCTTTTCTACATGACAAAGCATTTGGCAACAATGATGTTTTGAAGCATTTCCTCTCCTGGTCACTTATTTCTACTCCTGTCAGCTCTTGCAGTTGTACTAACATGTCTCTTGTGGGGTTACCCTATGAACCAGATCAGGAAACCTAACCAGGTTAAAAATTAGCCACAGGGAAAAAGAAAAAAAAAAAAAAAAAAGGCAGCAAAGAACTGGCACAGCTGCAAAAGCAGACCATAGTCACACAGGGACAAAATAAGCAAAGGGTGGCATGGGAAGGTGGTATGAATGCCCCAAATCCATGCTATCACTGAATGGTTTGGGGTCGTGAGAATAACAGGGTTAACATCAAAATTATATTTTGCCTTTAGAAACTTTGTATAGTTTTGTCAACCAGAGATGTGAAAGAAATTCTCTCTGATATACAACTCTATGGCACCAGAAACCTCTGGTGAAGTGTAAATAAATACTCTACCGGCAACAGCTTGGAAAAAAGCTTGTTGCCTCCTCCAGCTGTAACTGATCATGCCACTAGAAACAGCTGCTATAAAGGTCGTGGGGCAGGTGTGTGACTTTTGAGTGGGGTGGGTTGAGGGAGGTTAAAGAAAGCTAATACTCAAAGTAAAGGAGGAAAGAGCAGTCCTAGAAAATTAAGCAGTTCTGCAAAATCTGATATGTAGTTTGTACTAAAACAGAGAGGATGTAGTGATTCTGCTTTGGGGAAATTGTAATGTTGAAAAGAGAGGGTTAGTGGACAACTTTAGAAGAAACTCTTTGTGTTGGCCTCTGGATTTGATGGTATTGTTCCTCAGTCTTTAAAGGCCTACAAAGACCTAAAGAGATCTACAGGTACATTATGGGGACAGAAGGAATTAAAGCAACAAAGCTACTACAGTAGCTGGTCCTCTGTTAATATGAGCTTCAGCAAGGGTGCAACTGATGCCTCTTGCTTGGAGGAAGACAGCTTTCTAATGTTGGTAGGCAGCTGTGCGACATTGCCCGCGTAACTCGGTGCATGGTTCTCTTGTCCTGTTTAGACATGTCTTAATGAACAAAGTGTATACAAGCTGTTTCCAAACAACTATACCTATTTGAATGGTAATAGTCTCAAACTCTATTAAAGCAAAATTCTCTGTACTTCCTACTTTGCTTGAGTAAGCACTTGGTGAAAGCAGGGCAAGCCTGAGACTCTAACAGTTTAATCCTGACAGAAAAGCTTAACATATTGTGAGCTCCTCACCAGACCTTGCCTGAAGTAGCCCTTGGAGCTGTGAGCTCCCTGCCCTCGGAGAGGCCACTGGAGACAAACCCTGTTACTCTACAATGACAAGGTTTTGCTTGCTGTGGTAAGGGCAGCTGATTTGTGCTTGTGTTGGACTCTGAAAACTGGTGTTGGTGTGCTGTGGTGAAGCGTGGTAATGGGCTTCACATTTCAAAAGTGAGAGCAAATCTATCAAGAAAATTAGAGGTGTCTTAGAATGAGACCGACAGGACCTGGGGGGGGGGGCATAAGCTTACTGTCTCTTGTTTCCAGCTTCTAGGTTCTGTAGAATGGGCTGTTAGAAGGAAAATGTCACTCAACAGATTTTACATAGCTTTTAATTAAACAATACTATACCTGAACACTGAATGAAACTACTGTTGCATAAACTCCATTATTTGTCAGCATCTTTTCCAACTCTAGAGGGCTGGTTGTATCATCACACAGAAAAAGCTTTTGTGTGATGTGTCTACCATTAATTTCTGACTGTACCCAAAATTTTGAGTTGTAGCTTAAAACACTTAGTATATTTCAGCTCTGAAAGAAGACTTCAATAAAAACTCGAGTTATAAATAAATTTACACTCTGATACAGTGAGTGCTCTGTGCTTCTGTGTATGATCTGAAATGTTCTTACAGAGAAATTAGGGTGCTCTGATGATGATTGGGTCTGGGTTCCTCCAGGTGTATGAGATTAAGTGTATTCATTGCATGCTCTTGGGAGATAGAACAGTATCTTCAGATGAACAAAAAAAGCTCTTAATGTATTTTTTTTGAAGATAAATTTATTCTATTTTGACTCGGCATCAAGATTTTGTGCTTCTCACTTTCAGATGAGTTGCGAGCTGGTGGTTTTCAGTGGAAATCACAGGTACTTAGCACCTTCCAGTTTCTAGACTCAAGTATGTCCTACCCACTTCTCAAATTATCAAATACTTATGTCAGTTCTCCTTTTGCAGAACATCATGAGCGATACATATGAAAAACAATATACTAGGACTTGCGAAGGACTTTAGAATGGAATTGTAATCAACAAAAAACTCATAATAGACCCTGCTACCCAGCTCCCTTCTAACAACTTTTCTAAACGATCTAGCTCTCTGATAGGCCACAAAGGAAATGAACTAAGAACACTGCCATAATCTACATAATCTATACCCTTTGTACTAATTTAGCAAGGTAATGTTTGAGTAGTACATCAATTTCTTCCTCTGCTGAGAAGCAAGCGACTCATTTTGTACCACCAGGACAGAAGTATCCAGGGCACTGAAAGCAGACTGTGTACACCTGTATGTATGGTGTTAGCTATAAAATATAACTTGTATGTCTTTGTCACAAATGTTTTGGTAGAGAGAGAGATGCTTTTGCCTAGGATTGAGTGTGAACCATATTTCCTCCAGCACACCAAGGATCAGCTTTTGATTTTGGATGTGTTTTTCTCCCTACAGTGATCCCTCTTTGGAACTATTTGCTTGCAATGAAGGAGGGAGTGTACCCAAATATCACCACCTTTGCTTTGGGTAGAAAGTGCTACAATATGTATCACCATGCAGTTCAAGTCTAGGCAGCACAAGGCTAAAATGTCAACAGTAGAACTGGCATTACTGCCATACCTGGTGAAGCCACCAGGAGTTGGCAGTGGTAGAAATCTTAAACTTGTGGATTATCCTAGCTTTTTCCTTAATATGATCCATTACTGACTGGCAAACAAAGGATAAATACTGTTAACTGTAATAGTAATGCTGTGTGTAATTCATGCTTACTGAGACTATCCAGACCATTAGTGTTCCTGCTGTAGTGTGTGTATATATACCCACATTTGTTAGGCTGAAATAACATAATGCTGAAGCCGAATCCACTGACATTAATACAGCAGGGCAGCTGAAGTGCTGGGGAAGCACTGGGTGAGCAGGCTTCAGAAACCAGCTAACTTACTTGCTCTCCCTCGGCTGCAACTGAATTGCAACTGAATTAGATGGACCATTGACTTGACTCAATAGGGCATTTCTCATGGGGCTTGATTTGTTTCTCAGCAACATCCTTTAGAGGAGCTTAGGGGTTACCGGTGCCACAGAGTAACTTGATACTGATGTCTGAGAAACTGTGAGGGGCTATGCCCCACAGGCCCGATGTTCCTGGGGGACAGTCTGCTGAACTGCAGAAAGGAGTTCAATACCCCACTGAGCTGTTACTGCTCGTGTCCACATGCTGACTTTTGAATTACACAGCGAGCCACTCTGGAAACCAGTGGGGTTTCTGGTCTATCCAGGGAAGGGAACTGCATCTATCCAGTGCTTCATCTTGAAAAGGGGAAGGGTGTGAATGGCAATCTGATTCATTCCTGGTGGTGTGCCAGTTGCTTCAGCAGCTAAAACTGTTTGTGAACTCTGTCTGTGAGTGCCCTTGCCAATTTCTTTGACTTTTATGTGACTATTTGTGCAATTATTTAAAGTGTAGAAAATGGAAGGCCATGAGTGTTGGACAATTTACAGGCCGAATTTGTAAACACTCTGTCAGAGATTGCTACCTTCTTATTGCTACATCAGGAGTGAAGTAATACTAGCACCTTATTCCCCCTGCTCATTCAATATACCTGAAGTCAGACTGTGAATTATGGCTGCTGAGATGGCAGCCCCTCACCAGTCCTGCTGGTTGGGGTATGAGAGTGGAAATCTCCAGCAAAAATGTGGAATTGACAGCTGAGGATGGTAAAACTTTGTGGACTCTTTCCCATGTAACTTTTCTGCCAGAGCTCTACCAGTACGCACCATAAACTGGATTTATCAGGCGCTCTGTGGTAATTAGTCAAGTCCCTATACAGTCAGCCCTTCAGAAGGGAGAGGAGGTATTTGTTACCACAGAACTGAAGGATGTTGAAGGAGTGGAGGGGAACAAATTCCCTCCTGTCAAAGGATATGAGACAGAAGTTTCTGTACTTGCTACTTGGGCTAGCTGATAGGTGGGACTTGAGGTTGAAGGCAGTGTGACAGGGCTGGCCTGTAGTGCGGTGTTTGTGCTGAAGCAGTGTAACTTGTGTTCCGTGAGTCAGAATTGAGTGCTGCTTCCCATTTATGCTTGAGCAGGGCTTTTACATGTGAATTAGTGGTGGAGGTCCAAGCTGGATTCAGAAGTGCAAAGTTAACTGCAGGAGCAATGCTCATGGCTGAGGACATTTTTGCTGCATTACACGGCTCTCACGTGTTGCCATGGAGAGTGGGGACAGGGAATGGAAAAGGAAGGCGGTAAGGAGGGGAAAATGGAAGTCGAGCCAACTGGCAGGGCTCTGACGACTCCCTGCAGGGCTGGGAGGTCCTGTGGCCGTGGGCTCTGTAAGGAACAGCGACAAGAAGTGACTTTGGACGTGAAGGAGGGCCGGTGGGGGACTGCGGGACGGGGCCGCTCCCTGCGAGCGCTGCCCCTCTACCCCCTCAGGGCGTCCCGTGACGTCACGGCCGCAGGCCCCCGAGGGCGGCAGGGCCGCCATTTCCGCCTCGGTAAGAGCCAGGGCGCGCGCGCGCGGCCACTTCCGCCTGAGCGCGGCGGCGGCGGGGCGGGAGGGCGGGCGGGCGGCTCACGTGACGCGGCGGCGCTCTCGTGCGCAGCTCTCGCGGTGCCGGGCCGGCCCCCCCCACCCCCCGCCCGCGGCCCCCTCTCGCCCTGTCGGCTCGCGCAGCGGCGGGGCTCTCGCTATATAAAGGGGCGCGGCGGGCAGAGCGGGCGGCTGGCGGCGGCGGCTGCAGCCCCCGGGGCCGGCGAACGAGGCCGGGCCAGGCCCGCGGGGCTCTCTGCAGGCGGGGGGGAGAGGCCGGGGGGGGGCACGGCAGCCGGGCGGGTTTATTGTTTTAGGGGCGACTTCCCCCCCCTACCCCCCCGCACCGCGGTTGGGGGCGTCCCGGGGGGCTCGGGACATGGCGAGCTCGACTAACACAAACCCCGTGGTAAGGACCGGGCCGGGGGGCGAGGGGGGCCCCTACCCCCGCGCTGCCTGCCCCCGGCCCCCTCCCCTGCCCCCGGCCCGGCGGCGGGAAGGGGGCGGCGGGGACGGGAGGAGGAGGAGGAGGAGGAGGAGGAGGAGGAGGAGGGGGGTGGCAGCGGGCAGCCCCCCGGGGCAGCCAACTTGTGGCGCCCGGCGCCGGGGAGGCGGAGAGCGGAGCCCGGGGGCGGCGGGAGCGGGGCCGGGGGGAGCCGGGGGGGAGCCGAGGGGGGCGCGGGGCGGCGGTGGCGGCGAGGCCGGGGTCCGGCGGGGAGGGGAAGGGCAGGAAGGGAAGGGAAGGGCCGGGGGGCGCCGCCGCCGCCGCCGCCGGAGGGAGCCGCCCGGGGAAGGGGCGAGCGGCGGGGGAAGCGCTGCCGCCGCTGGGAGCCCCCGGCCGGTGTCGGTGCGGCGGCGGCCCCGGCCCGCGCCCCGCTGGAGCCATTTTATGTTGCTTTATCCGAAGGAGACGATGGTTGAAAAGCACTTCTCCCAGCCCCGCGGCTCGGCGCGGCCCGGCCGGGCGCGAGCCCGGAACTTTTTCTGCAGCGAGCGAGGCAGTATTTATTTTACAAAGACAAACTCTTCCCCTCCTCCCCTCCCCGCTCCCCCCCGTGTCCCTTCTCGTGCTTTCTGCACCTTCGTGGGTGGCTTGCTGCTGTGCTTGCGCTCACACAGGTTCGCAATAAGCAGTCACACCAACCTGCGCGGCCACCGAGCCCCCCCAGCGCCGCTCTCCTCTCCCCCGCTGTCCGCCCCCCGGCCACGACCCCCGCCCCGAAACGCTGGCGGAGACAAACCCGGCGTCCCGGCTGCAGGCTCGGCCCCCTTGTTTGTGGCTCTCAGATCCATCATGGCTTCCCCCTGCCTTTCTGCCTGCCTGCTCCTTGTGTTCCTCCTCCCTGTGGCTGCCCTGTTTATATAGAGCTATTGCCGCTCTCTAATATAGACTCTGCTAGGATGGGAAGGTGCTTTCCAGCCCCACGTCACCGCCTCTCCATTTAAACACCACATCAGCCTTTAAATAGGGAGAGAGCCGCCGAGCGCGGGCTGGGAGGTGCATGCATCCGCGGCGGCGGCTGCCAGCCGGGCTTTTTGTCCCTCCGAGCCCGCCCGGCCCCGGCTCTCCCCGCACCGGGGCCGCTGCCTGGCCTCGCACAGCAGCCGGGCTCCGCGCTGCGATCGCCTCCAGCCTCGCACGAAGAAGGCAGCCTCCAGCCTCTCCCGCCTTCCAAAAGCATTCACCTTTCTCTCCCCATTTTCTTTCATTTTTTCCTTTTTTCTTTTTCCTTTCTTTTCTTTTTTTTTTTTTTTTTTTTTTTTTTGGTCACTAGCATCCAGCTAGCCCAGAGTCGTGTGTTAGCTGCACGGTCTTCTGCCGAGCTTTTTCGGCTGGATGAGGAAAGTAGAATTGAAATGGTTCTTCCCCGGTATGTCAAGGAGAGATGTGGTACTTATTGTGTGGCGCTTTGCCAACATCTGCCTACAGCTGTCGCACCAGAAGTATCATTAATATTAAAGTTTTGTCTGGGGGCTCTGGGCCGCAGATACTACTTAATGAGTTTTATGTGCTTCTGGTAACTAAAGATGATGGATGCACGCGGATTTTCCTACAGTCTGAGAAGACTTTACTGCAGTCTGAGAAGGGCAGAGGTTTTGGAATTTTCATTAATATCTTGGAATTTTCACTAATATTCGAGTTAATTACAATATTTCGTGTACTACAAAACATACAAAAGCACATGGAAAGCATCCGGGATGTCCTTTCCAAATCCAAAATTTTGTAGGTTGCCTGTGAAGTAAGGTCATGCAATTGCAAAGGAGTGGCGTTGCTTTGTAGCGTTCTGTCAGGTCTTGTATCAGGAAAATTTCGGACAGCAGTCAGCCATTACGTGTGACAGGATGCATTTCGACTGTGTGATCTGAACCTGCTGGTTGTCCTGTTCGTAAACCACTGCCTTTACTTTCCTATTGAATGAAAAGGCTCTGTCTCCATGTAATAAATCCAAGGTTTCGCTTCTCTTTTTCTACCAAGCTATTACTGAATAGGAAAATACATGCACTGAATGATTTTCAGAGCACTTGTAAATGACTTTCTTTCAGCAATTTGCTAAGGCTTATCGGTGCTGCACCTCTGCGCTGGCGTAACGTAACTTCTGTAGAGTTCTCTTGGAAGGTGTCTGTGTGTGAACGTGGTGTTCAGAATTAGAGAAGAAAAAAAAATTAAAATGAGCCTGACTCCAGTAGGCGTGCTTTAGGCTAAATTTCAACAAAGTAGTAAAACCTCGCAATCTGTGGTAAAAATTGGGCCTCGCTCCATAGCAATGGTAACAGTGCTTACCTGAGGGTTATCAAAGAGGAGTGGGAACATTTGGAAGTACTGCAGCCAGATGATGGCTTTAGCAAGCCAGATTTGGAGCCTGGTGTGCAATGGTATCACATCAGCATCCGATCAAATCTGGATTGCTAGACAGCTGTTCTTGCTAGTAAAGGGCCGATATAAAATGTTAACAGTTGTATGCAATGTAAAGTTTTGTAGCTGGCAAACATAGTTACTTGTAAAGTCTGTGACAATGTTTAAAAGAAAAAGCACCTTTTATTAATGACTTACAGCGTAGATTTTATGTGGTGATTCTTTTTATGCTCTTCTTTGATGTAACTGTGGCTGAAATTAGTTACCTCTGTAGTGTGCTGTTCTGGCTGTAGTATAGCTGGCCTATAGCTTGCCTCTAGCTGCATCTCCACCCCAGGAGAAAGGGGCAGGCAGCAGTGCAGGGGCATCTGCAGAAGTAACCAGGAACAAACTGCAGTCAAATGCACAAAGCGTGCAGTGCCTATTTCTTCGTGATGTGCTGGCTCTTGGAAAGCCAAGCTGCTGAGTCCCAAGCGGCGTGATAACAATGACAAAGAGATGCAGGTTTTGTGCCCTCAGAACTGGTGGAATGTGGGAAGTGTAGGCCCCCAAAGGCATGTGGCATTTCTTAAAATAGCCGGCTGCTTGCTCTTCGGGTTTGGATAGCGTGCGTGCGCGGGTAGCAGTCTCACCACGCTCAGAGTTTTCTTTACAAGATGTACAAGAGAAAGTGAAATATAATCGTTTCCCTATGTTCCCAGAGGGGAAAGGACTAGATTTTAAATCTTTTCTATGTGTTTGTGGTTGTATCTAATAAATCAGGAATTTTAATTGTTGTCTTTCATGTATGGTAAGTGTTTGGGATAGTGTTTATTGAAGAGTGATTTGAGTATGTTTGCGCTTAAAAGGGCTCGAAGTTTACACTAATGCTCTCTTTATGAGGGAGGCACTTTAATATAAACCAGATGAAAGCATGATTATTTTAATAGCGATCTTTTAAGTTTCTATTATGTTCTCATTGCTTTCTTTGACTGAACCTGAAAATTTATTGCAGAGTTTAGCTCACCTGCTGTCCTGTCTTTGTAGGCTCACTCAGTAATTGTGTTCCTCTGTTTGGTTTTTGAGTGCGTAAGTAGCACATGAAAAAGATTGTCATTCAACTGCAGAGTTTTAGGCGGTTTATGTAAGCAACTTGAGCATCCTGTAAATAATACTTGAAGCCAACAGTTAGTGTGTATCTAAAACAATACAGCGTGCTTCCTTTTGAAGGTCAGGGCTTAAGACTGTTTTGTGATTTTACTTGCTGGCTTTACTTCTGTTGAAGTAGTAAAAGAGCGTTTTGTGTTATTTTTCAAAATTCCTCTATGGATGGCTTTTGAAAAAGGCGCTGCTGCTCCATTTATAGGAGTTGCATCTCTCTTGACTGCATGCTCAGTACGAGCATATACAGCAAAGGTTTTCAGCCAGCCAAGTCAAGATTTGTCTGAGTATGGTGGAAATGTGGCTGTAAAATTGGTAAGTGCAGGGGGTCAGACACTATCTCATCGTAAAGCATAGATACTTTTTTTCTCCGCTCCTCTCCTTTTTCTGCTAATCATATAACAGTGACTGTATTGCATATTGTGATACTGGCTGATCAGAACAGTGCCCTGAAATTCTGGCCCATCATCAGGTCCAGTGCGCTCTACAGCTCATGCAAAGCGATGCATCCATCTGCATACCCCTTGTGGGTTTGTAAACCGCCTTGTTCGTGAGCCCCATTTTTCAGGCACAGTGCTTGCTTGTGGTGTCCTTGAGGTCTCGGCTGCTCACTTGGGCTGTTGGAGGTACACTAGAAGGACATCACGTCGGTGGCAGAGCCAACACCTACGCTCCTAGCCTCCCTTTCTGCTCTTATGCTAAACTGGTGCTGAGCTCAAGAAAGTGGTATCCTGGTCTTCGCATTTGCTTTTCCCCCTAATTATGCAGGAAAAAAAAAAAAATGTTCCCAAGCAGACTGTTGAGCTGTAAGGTCAGTTTGCTGTATCTGAATATTAGTATTTTTTCCTAGGGCTTTGTATTCCAAGAAAGCCTTGTAAGCACACCTTCCAGGAATGCCTGACAGGAGGAGGTAGCTGCTGGTGGAAGTCAGTAGGGCCTGTTTGCGTAAAATCTGTTTTACTAGTTAAGTGGACCCAATAGATGATTGAAGGAGAAAGTGCAACCTCCAGGAATTTGGTTCGTGATTTCAGGCATAGAGGAAGTCCCATTGACTGAAGTGAAGCAACTCACGTGCCTACGGATCAGCGTGTTTATTTGCAGTGTGGTTTTGTCTTCAGGAAACAGATGCTTTTAATACAGTGAGGAACAATATGCAGAATAGGTCAAGTGGCATTTCTGTTCTAATTGAATTGTGTAAGCTTTATGCAATTTGTTTAATTATAGAAATAATAGGGCTTAATGTTATTAAGCACAATGTCTTTTTGCATCTGCTGTGCATTAAATCTAAGTGGAGAAATAATCCTATTAATGATGCTGGGTATTTCTGAGTTCCTCACTGCACAGAACTAAAATGCTAGTGCACAAGAGTAGTCACCTTTTGCAAGTCTGTTTCAAATGTCTCTATAAGCACAAATAATGCTGTATGTGCAATTTCGAGATACAGGCATGCAGTACTGTACTGTTTTGAGAGAAAAAAATGCAAATCTGCTGTTTTTTGTTTCTTCTGGAGAAACTGAGTTTTGGATGTAGGTGCTGTAACTGTAGTTTTCAGGTAAGGCAAACATCCCCTATTACTTGGGGCCAGAAAGTTTTTGCAGAGACAAATTTAAAAAACAAACAAAAATAAAGATGAATTCTGTCATTACAGCTGCTTGATTTGCAGTGGCTTGTTTTGAAGCTGCAAAGTGGCAACCTAATGAAATGTGAACTGGAAAAAAAAAAAACTAGGGTGCTGATAGCATGGCATTCCCCAAAATGTTGGGGGTGGATTTTCTGACCAGAGTTGTAGTGGTGTGTGTGTGTGTTTATTTTATTTTTTATTTAAATGTAAAGATATCCACTTTGTTTTGTGCTTATTGTCTATTCAGCTTCGTTGAGGGGTGTTAAATCTTGTGCTGTTCCCTCCTCCTTTATTCCGTGATGGAGGTGTAACTGTTCTGTTTCATAATGCGTGCGGTGTAATCTTGGGCATATCTGTAACAGATTCAGCACTTCTGGGATGCATTAAGCATCTGTGCGTGCATAAAAGATGTGTTTTAAGCACATGCAATAAATCTGTGTAGTTCCAGCGGTGCCGATCTATCTCGCTGTGTGCACTTGGTGCAGATTTCCTATACATTCATTGGAGGGACAGCCCTCCTGGAGGGTGAAAGCCACCATACAAGTACAGAGTGATTGTTTTGCTTGTGTGCAGCATATCTGATGTGTGGCATCATTTGGGTTTTTTGGCAGGAAGTCAGGGAGTGAGGTGGAGGAAGATGTCGGCTGACAGAAATTTGCAGTTACTTTCAGATTAGTTTAGGAACAGCCTGTACCCAGCCAAAGAACAGCCTTGAGCAGTGAAGTATGTATGGCTCACAGTCTGCAGGCTGATCAACCCTA